AAATGCATTAACAAATGCTTTAAAAAACAGATGGGAAAAATCAGGCCCTGTTAACACCTCTAAAGTACCCTCATCCAGTCTGCAGAAGTTTGGCCTCAAAAGAACAGTGGCAGCTGCTGCTCACTGCCATGACACCCTTCATGGAAATTTGGCCTCTGGGTTGTACTGGAGTTATAACTGATATACTCTATCTCCATCTCGCCCATAACCACCCTGATGTTTAGCAATAAAATAGTGAATTGGTGTGATGGGACTGGTTCCCCATTCTTTTGCAGGGTTAAGCCTCCTAACTCTAGCCCACAAGGATTCCAGTCATCGAGCCTCCGCCTACTTGTCCTCATTTTATATCTTGTTGTGAAGAAGTCCCATGGGGGCACTTGGGAACATGACACAATTTCTAATCACCCGACCTATACCAAAACACAGCAGCCCTATTCCTTTCCTTGACTGAGATTTGACCCTTTTATTAAGGAAGCCATGACACAAAAATTTAAGCCAAATGAATCTATCTGACCAGTTAACTAAAAGCATCCTCAACACATTTCTTTCTGAATCCCAAATCCAGTAATCACGTCAACACTACCCTTCCGTGTTTCTCCTGTCTTCCCTACTCCATTCCTGCTATTTGCAGCCTAATTTAAATCCTCAACCTTGTTCATTTGAACTGATGTTTCTATATTTACTTGTACTGCACACTTTTCAACAGAATTTGCAGTGGTTTTCAGAAATGAGGTAGAACAGAATTTTTTAAAGTACACAACAAAAACAATTGAAGAAAAGGAGAAAACGAAAAAAAGCTATAAATTAGTACACTGAAAAAAAATCAGAGTTTTAAACAACTGAACATAGACCCCCATTGATTTTCCATGCAAAAAGACAAATGAGCAACCCAAGCAGATCAGATTTCCATAATATTAATACATATACATCTACATAACTTATTTTTCTCCTCAAATTTACGTGGAACAGTCAGACACACTCTAGTCAAACCAAAAAGGGACCGATACATGGATCAGAATGCCAGTGTTTTATTGTACAATGGTACACATTACTATCACAAAGTTTGGAATGCTTTTTTTTTTTTTTTTTGAGACAGAGCCTCAAACTGTCCCCCTGGGTAGAGTGCTGTGGCATCACAGCTCACAGCAACCTCCAACTCCTGGGCTCAAGCGAGTCTCCTGCCTCAGCCTCCCAAGTAGCTGGGACCACAGGCACCCGCCACAACACTCAGCTATTTTTTTTTTTTGGTTGCAGCCGTCATTGTTGTTTGGCGGGTCCAGGCTGGATTCGAACCCACCACCTTAGGTGTATGTGGCTGGCACCTTAGCCACTTGAGCCACAGGCGCCTAGCTTGGAATGCTTTTTAATTAGTGGAACAACATATCTTCCTACAGATTTATATGGAAGGTGAAATCATATTAAGATTTAAGGAAGAGGAAAACACATAAAGGAACAAATTATCTTAATCCACATCCTCCACCTAAGAGAGCCCAAGAAAACTCATGTGCTATGGGGAAAGCCAGGCCAGAGCATCATCACAGCTCACAGCAACCTCAAACTACTGGGCTCAAGAGATCCTCTTGCCTCAACCTCCTGAGTAGCTGCAACTACAGGTACTCACTACAGCACCCAGCTAATTTTCCTCTTTTTTTTTTTTTTTTTTTTTTTGTTTTTGGCCAGGGCTGGGTTTGAACCCAGCCACCTCTGGCATATGGGGCCGGCGCCCTACTCCTTTGAGCCACAGGCGCCACCCAATTTTTCTCTATTTTTAGTAGAGACAGGGTCTCACTCTTGCTCATGCTGGTCTTGAACATCTGAGCTCAAGCAATTCATCCACCGCAGCCTCCCAGAGTGCTAGGATTACAGTTGTGAGCCACTGAACCCGGCCACAACATAGTTTTGATGTATGTAAATCAGGAGCCTCCATCTCCCCAAATAGAGCCTTTAGCCAACATGCCTCAGATAAAGGAGGGCTCACAGCTACTTCTGAATCCCACTTAATCATATAATCAGTTTTCTAAGCAATTTCAATGGAGTAAAGAAGAACTTGGCTAAACCAGAAAAACATGGTTTTCCCAATTTCGCCAGAAAGAAAACAATCAAATCATCTGAAGTCCCAGTGGATTCACAAAATGGGATTTCCTTTCAAGGCCTCCAACAGTTGATTATAGAAGAATATTTATTTTAGTATACTGCATGTTTGAAAAGAAGAAAATTTCCTTAAGTCATGGATCTTAGGGTCTATGGTTTGCAGCATATCAAAGTACACTCCGTCAATTCCCCCATTGCCACAGACCACCTCACTCCAGCCATTAGCTGTACTAGTTTCAAGCCAAGGAATAAATGTCAGTATCTTCCAGAGAGATCTTAGAATCTAATCATTCCTTTTGAAAGTTTCAATCAGTTTTCTTTTCAGCTGTCTACCCCACCTTCAGAGACAACCTGTCCCTTCAATTCTCATATTTTTCTAAGGTCCTGTGATTTTAATCAACTTATTTCTTCATGGCTGTCCTACCTGAAGGGTTATATTTTTATTTTCTTTAGTCTGTTAAATCTGATTGGTTACCACTCCCCCATCTCTTTTCTATCTTCCAGAGTTTTGTTGGTATTTATCTGCTATACTTCCTCTCATTCATTTCTCTCTTGTGTGGCTACATATTTTTAGTTCTTCTATGTGAATAGCTGAAGGAGCTGGGAAAGAAAAAAAATGTTCAAATGGCAATATTTAACTAGAAACAAAACTGGTCACGTTTCTTTACAGTTCCCTATCCCAAAGTGAGAACTTACGAGGTCAAAGATCAAGGGTTCTCTCTTCTCTGTTCTAGGCTCTAACTGATTTTATGCTGATTCAAAAACCCAAAAGACAAGCTAACCCATAAGATTTATTTTCAACAATCTTTCATTTCTTAAGTGGAAAAAAATAGCTAAAAATCAAAAGTCACAATGTCTTGACTCTATTAGGGAAATAGTAAAGCTTGAGCAATGAAAATTCTTATGAGAAGCATCACATACCACTTTTAAAGGGCAAGAAATAACATCCCTCTGTGTAATCTTTATTTTGGATAAAAGCTGTCTTGTCTATGGCCCTTCCTTATTTTAACTTATAGTTTATCTTTTGGGATGAAAGGACTGAGGCCTTTTGGTACCATACCCTAGCAAAACTATCAGCAGTCTGTTGGGCCCATCTTTTATGGAAAAATAACAATAATAATAATAAAGGTCTTCATTTGGCAAATGCCAGGATGCACCCATACACCTCAATAATGCAAGGTTTCCAAGGATTTACTGGGATATACTCAACATATAATCATATTCCGTAAGTTCTTCAGGCATTAAAATAGTGACAAATGTAAGTCCTAAAAGTATTTCAGAATGCAGATTTGAGTTAGTTACTATTGTATTAGTTGGGATTTTATGATTGCTGTTATCAATTATGTAAAAATGGAAGAAAAGTGTTCTTTCACCTCATTTTTATAAACAAGGGCTTTCCAAGCATTCTTTTAAAGGTGAGACTTTTAAGTGTCCACTTACCTCAGGCTGCCTCAGAAAATGCAAAACTGTCCACTAAAACAAAAGCTTTTGTTCCCCTCATGGGAAGGAAAGTGTAAAAATGACTACAGTTCCCTATATCTACTTGCTAAGTAGACACAGATTCTGGTAGCCAAGATCTGTTGGGCCCCATGGGATTACCTGGACGTATGAACTACTGTCACAATATCAAGGGCACTGGAATACAGGGTGTCCATAAAGTGTGTGCAAATTTTAAATAACTGTATGCTTTAAATTGCACACAAACTTTGTGGACATTCTATATTTTGGGTGTACCATTCATAGGATAGATTCTGGGACCCCGGGCCCCCAATGCCTAAAGAAATGGAAGAACACAGAAAACAAGTAGCAACTAGAATTGTTTCAAAGTTGGTATGAGTTCCATATGTAACGACTGACCTGACTGCGTAAATCAAAGGTGATTATGGCTGGCTCTTTACACTTCCATTTTTCAAATGAAAATATGAAAAAAACAACCATATGAAAAACCTAGGCTTTGGCTTCCAAAGTATAAGGGTTTGCGTGTGGGGGTCCTTTCTGGATTACATCCTATTCCTTGGAACCTCCCTAGCTTGGTTTTCATCAAAGCCTCCTGAAAAGACCATGCACGTAAAGGATACCACCTATCTGAACATGCAAATGGTTCACTTCAATCCAGGGTTTAAGATTCTACCACAACTCCCCACTGGCTTCAAGGAAGTTTAACCATTTTAGCAAAACTTGGTGGATCTTCGTAATCCCCCTGCTTCCTGCCTCTCCACCCTCACCCAATGTTCCATCACATTACTTAGTGCCAAAAAGCAAAATAAAATTAATAAAAATCCTTCACTTCCTCAGCTCGCTACTGCTCCTAACCCTATTCCCTCTGTCCCCTTCATTTCCTCAACTTGTTAACTTCAGCCCCTTTTTTACAGATGACAAAGGGTATGTTGGTCTCTATTTCACCTTTCAATCCAATCCGTTAATATTTGGAATTCTGCTCCTCCTTCCCCCTTCAGGGCCTGGTAAGTGAGCGGTCTGTCTCATAAAACATGCTCAGTAAACTGTGGTGAATGAATGACAAACGCCCGAGAACTAGCAGTGCGGGACGTGCAACTCCGCCCACGCATGCGCGGAGGCAGAGCCGGGTACAAACTCCAGCGAGAACTCAGGTCTCCAGTCCCACCCCGAGCTCCCGTGAACCCGGCGCCACAGGTCGGGCCTTCCCCTGCGCCTTACCCACTAGGGAACGTAGAGTTCCGGGGGCGGCTCGGGCTTCCGCGCCCACCTGGGAAAGGTCAGAGCTGCCCATCTCGGAAACGCGGGCGGGAACCGAGCTTAGCTTAAGGAACTGAGCCCGGGGCTTCCAACCCAGCTGTCCCCGAGGGGAAGGCGCCAGCGCGGAAGCTGCGACGGGGCGGGGAACGCAAAGCCCGGCCCGGGGACCGTGGGGCGCGCCGGGGCCGCATTACCTCTCCAGGGCCTGCAGGGTGTAGCTGATGAGCGGCCGCTCCAGGATGGGGCAGAACTGCTTCGGGGTGGGGACGCCCATCCTCTCCCCGCACCCCCCTGCGGGTAACACGGCCGCCACAGACAGCGGGCAGCGCCCCGGCTCGGCCCCGGCCGCGCTTGGCGAGGAGGCCGGAGCTGCCTGGTGTGCGCCGAGTAGGCCGCTCAGGCAAGGCCCCTGCTCGGTGGGCCTGGAGCCGCTGGGCGGCCCAGGCTCCATGGCGGCGGGCAGTGCGGCGGGTCCTGCTCGCTTTGGACAGAAGCGCCCCGTGCTGCTCCCGCCCTCGGCCGGGTCGCGGGGTGGCGGCCGACAAAGGGGGGGACGCAGGGCGCGCAGGCGGAAGGCGCCGCTGAGCCTCCCGGATCCGCTGCCGCCGGTAGGCAGAGGATGATCCCGGCAGCTGCTGCAGCAACTGGGCTGCTGGTCTCCCCACGCCGCGCGGCTGCGGCCTCTGCGCCGGGCCCAGCGCCCCCGGGAGGGCTGGCTTCTCCGGGGCAGACCGAGCGGTCGCCGCACGTGCAAGTGTCGGCACTCCTCACATACCCAAGGATCACATACAGTTAACAGTTGTGCATATACAGGAGAGATTCGGACTCCATCCCGCCCCTCCCTCCTTTAAGATATTTGGAAAAGATACGGATTCAGGTCACTAGGTGGGACAAGGTGCAAGTGCACCTGGATTATCTGAATTTAAATTCCCATGGCTTCCTGGTTCCACCTCCGGTAAAAACAGGTGGATTGGCAGAAGTTGCTATGAAACATCTATAATCAAAACTTGAGGTGCTTCCCAAACTTGTCTGCACCCTGGAACCACCTGAGGAGGGTGTCCAGATACCTGAGACTGCGATTTACTTCTAGTGTGTGGCCTTGGCCTGGGCGTTTTTAAGTATGCTCAGATAATTCTAATGAACAGACACGTTTTGGAATCACAAAGCCAAAATAGTACTAATAGTTACTGAATCACAGACATACATGTCATTTAATTCTCAGGAGAACGCAACTATTCCTGTTTCCCTTTTACAAAGAGAGAAATACAGTTAGAACTTTTAAGTATACCGTGTGTAAGATTGCACAACTGATATAGAACAGTCATAAAGCCTTGTACGGAAGTACACCCAAAGTTGAAGAATTCCAGGCCTGAAGCATATCTTGCCCTTATTTAGTACCCTCCTTACGGGGGATGTTTACCAGGACAATATGGTAAAGTATTTGGAGAGCCACAGCAATGCGTTGGGTCCTTGGAATGTAAACTCCTTGAGAGCAGGGGCTTTGATTTGGCGGATTGTGTGACCGACTTAATGTGATAGACGCTTAATGTTCACTGAATGAATGGCTGATTAAAGTGTAATTATCTGAATTCCTAATTAATCTTATCAATGGTTAATATTCATAAAAAATAACCTTAAACACGAAAAATGTATCTAGTTATAATATCCCAATTCCCAGTATTTTTCCCATTTTCTCAGTTCAAAGAGTACAAAAATAAAAATATTCTGCTTTTTTTTTTGTTTAGTCTTATTGAAAGCATTTTTTCACCTTGGTTGCCTTTATCATATTAACGTTTAGCACCTATGCTAGTTGAGATTTCTCAGACTACTGACTTTTAGCTGGAAAGATCTTTAGGTATCATAATATACTTCTTTGTTACTCATATTGCTATTACTTCAGATTTGGGCTTGAGGTCTCACTCTTGAAAGTGGCTGGAGCCAAAGGAGAGCTGAGGCCCTGGCAGGAAAGAAGATTAGGTTTGGGTGTGTAGGCAGCAAGGCAAAATATGCGAGATAGCAGAAGCATTTAAATAGTAAAAGATCTACAAAAGAGGGGCTCCCAACAGCCCAGCCAGAAGTCCTTCCCAGAGATAGCAGGGTTACAACCAGTGGGTGCAAAGGAGATAAAGAAATAGAGGACCTACAAGGCTGTGCCTTCGTTAAGGCCACCAAGGCTTTCACTAGAGGGGCAGATTAGATCATTCAAAGAAAGCACTTGAGAAGTGGGAACTATTTACATGACTCTGGTATTGACCATTAGGTTTTACCCGCTGTGGGATGAAGAACAAGTGGACTATATCACAAAACATTACACAGGGACCAGAAGTTTTAACGAGGCCACAGGTGATGAGTTACAACCAGTTTTCAGACAACTTACCTCAAGCCTAAAAATGGATGCCTAAGGTAGCAGCTATATGAAATTTACGACAGTAGTTGGCTTTGTAGCACCAGTACCACACCTGTGTCTGGCCTACACTATGCACTCAGTAAATATAAGTTGAGTACCTGGATGAATGAATGAATGGATGAGCACATCTGTGACAGTAGAAAGGCAAACCAAATTATTGTTTTCATTAATACTGGTCTTTAAAGCTCCCTTTTTAATCTAAAGATGAAGTTAAATCTCTTCTTCATTTAATATTGAGCAAAGAAAAACATAGTAATAAAGCTCTTGTTATATTAATTGGTAAAGAATAATTTTATGTAATTAAACCTTGGTGAATCTTAACCAGAATCTTACTTTATTGATTTACTTTTGATCTTAGAGCAAATATTCTAACTTAGCTCTCCTTGCTAATGAACTCTATGAACCCTTAGATTTTAAACACTATATATGAACAATGTCTAGCAGATGAATTATATTGAAAAAAGAACAGACTGCAGTATTTGTTCATATACACAGTATAAAGTAACACGTCTTTCTGTTGTATCTTTTTTATATAGCTATAATTAGTTACATATGTCATGCATAGTTTTGGTAAAAGATGTCATTTCTGTGTTACTTTGTACCAAGTTAAAGCAGCCACATTAAGAGACTATCTTCTCTGTATCAGGCATATAAAAGTACATAGCCTGGATAGTGAGATCCTCCCGGACTCATTGGTACTAACCATCTGAGATCTGCAGTTGACATGTTTAGAAAAAATAAAACCAATTGTATCACCACACAAAGCATGGAAAGTGGAGAAGTTCTTGGAATTATTTTTAGCAGGGCTTCTATGGTAGATGGAATTAGAGCTCCCCAAAGAGGTCCATGTCCTTATCCTGAAAAATCTATGAATATGTTACTTTACAGTGCTAAGGAGAATATTCTGGGTTTTCTAAGTGGGCTCTAAGTAATCATAGAGTCCTTATACAATGGAGGACAGAGTTAGAGAAGGGGTTATAAAGATGGAAGTAGGGACCAGAATGATGCAGAGCCAGAACTAAAACATAGAGGCAACCACTATAAGCCAGAAAAGACCAAGAGAAACAGGCTTTTCTCTTACAGCTTCTTGAGGAATGCCCTGCCAACCCATTTTTAGACTTCTGAAATCCAGAACTGTAAGATAGTATGGATTGTTTTAAGCTACTACATGTATGGTCATTTGTTACAGAAGCAATAGGAAACTAATATACCTTCATACATAGGAGGAGCTTGAAATTCACATTCATACCTAGTTATACAATTAACCATGCAGTTATACGTAGTTAGAGTGCACTGATATGTTTGAAAAAAGAACGTACTATTTGCTCAGCTTTACTTATGTCCAGTTACTAGACTCTCAGAGCATTTGACTTAAAGTTTAATTCTCTTATGAATAACAAAATGATGTATTGCATTGTTTTGCAACTGTTTAAAGCATAACTTTGTTAAGTATATGCTACAATTGTACTCTCACTTTGGTGTGTCTTTACTTTTTTTTGAGAAAAAGTCTCACTCTGTTCCCCAGGCTAGAGTGCCATGGACACAGCCTAGCTCACAGCAATCTCAAACTCCTGGGTTCTATCCTCCTGCCTACACCTCTCAAGTAGCTGGAACTGCGGGCGTGTGCCACCATGCTCTGCTAATTTTCTATCTTTAGTAGAAATGGGGCCTCACTCTTGCTCAGGCTGGTCTCAAACTCTTGACCTCAAGTGATCCTCCCACCTTGGCCTCCCAGGATGCTAGGATTACAAGGGTAAGCCACCGTGCCTACCACTTTTTAAAAAAAATATAGACTTTATTTTTTTAAGAGTAGTTTTAGCTTTAGAGCAAAATCAACATGAAAGTACAGAAATTCTCACATACTGTCTATTCCACACATTCATAGCCTCCCCCACAGTCAGTATCCCCCATAAGAGGACATTTCTTACACTGATGAACCACACTGGCATATCAGTATCACTCACAGCCCATAATTCACATTAGGGTTCACGTGGAACTATCATTCCATGGATTTGGACAAATTTACAGTGACACAAATCCACCATTATGGTATCCTATACACTAATTTCATTGCCCTAACAATCCTCTGTACTCTATGCTATTCATGCCTGTCTTTCCCTAACCCCTACTCCACCTGGCATCCACTGGACTTTTTACTGTCTCCATAGTTGGAATCAAACAGTATATACCCTTTTCAGATTTGTTTTTTACACTTAGTAATGAGCATTTAAGGTTCCTCCATGTCTTTCGTGGTTCGACAGCTCATTTCTTTTTAGTGCTGAATAAATATTCCATTGTTTGAATGTACTGCTGTTCATCCATTCACACCTACTGAGGGACATTTTGGTTGCCTACCAGTTTGGGCAATTATGATTAAGTTGTGTGCAGATTTTTATGTGCGCTAAAAGTTTTCAACTTGGAGGGAGAAGGGAAATACCAAGGAGAAAAGTTGCTGGATTATATGGAAAGAGTATGTTTGAAAGACAGTTTCTCAAAAAACTATTCCTACCAACAATGAATGAGATTTCCTGTTGCTCCACATCCTTGCCAGCAGTTGGTGTTGTCAGTGTTCTGGATTTGGGCCATTCTAACAGGTGCATAATGGCATCTCACATTATTTTAATTTGCATTTCCCTGATGACATGATCTTGCGAAGTTTTTATTTGCCATATGTGTTATCATATTTGGCAAAATGTCTGTTACAGTGTTTGGTTGACTTTTTAAAGAAGCTGTGTTTCATTGTTTTACGAGTTCTTTGTATATTTTGAGTAACAATTCTTTATCTGATATGTCTTTCACAAATATTTTCTTCAAGTCTGTAGCATATATTTTTCTTCTGGACAGTGTCTTTTTAAGAGCAGAAATTTTTAACTTTAATGAAATCCAGCTTATCAATTCTTTCTTTCATGGATCATGCCTTTGAAATTGTTTGTTTAAAATTATCACAAAACCCAAGGTAACCTAGATTTTTTCCTATGTTATTCCTATGTTATTTTTTCTATTTTACGAATTCTGTTGTGCAGTGTTATATGTTTAAGTCTGTGATTCATTTTGAGTTTATTTTTGTAAAAGGCATAAGGTCTGCCTACAAGATTGAGATTT